CACACACACACACACACACACACACACACACACACACACACACACACACACACACACACCTGTAGTGGATGGCATTAATATTAAAACCCCTAATGTTGATTGTTAAAAAGTCATTATTTAATGACGATGTTAAAATGCTTTTTTAACAAGAGAAGAAACAAAGAGCTTGACAAACATTTTCCAAAACAAGAACATTTATGGCTTGAAGTGGCTGACATCTTTATAAAGCTGGCTTTTTATGTTGCTGACATGAGTCACATCCCTCTCTTTAAAAGAAAAGTGCACATTCTTCAACAAATATTTTATTTTTTCAGAACAATGTTTTCATTTAGATTTGTCTAGTTATATTTCACATTTCTTTAAAGAAACAAGACATGTTTTTCACTGTAAGCTTCCAGAGAAGCTTTTAGCCATTCATTGAATCTTTTCCCTTATCCTTTTTATTTTCTCTTTCTTTCATGCCTGTCCTTCTGACAATAATACATAATAAGCTTACATCAAAAACACAAAAGAAGGACAGAAGAGAAAAAACCTAGAAGAGCTGAGGTAAAAAATGCAAGGACGACAACTGGAGATAAAAAAAGAGAGAAAGAAGTCACAAGAGGGTAAGATGTGAAAACAAGATCAGAGGAGATGTAAAATGGTCATAATTAGATGCCAAAAAGGCAGCCCCTAAGATTTTTTTATTTTGTTGTTTGTTGTTTTGTTTTTTGTCATAATTTAAATTTCACCACAGCTTTTTCAGAAAGCTGTGATAAAAGTTACGTTGTCCAGAATATATAAATATTTTATTAAACAGGTTCAGAAAAAAATCGATTTCTGAACTTTTTTATTTGTAAAACTTCATGTAACTTTTCAGAAGTTGCTGTGGAAGTTAAAAGCTTCTCAGCGGTTTTGTTCCACAAGTGAATGAATTTTGTGAGGCTGTTGTGATCGACGCCTTTCTTCAGTAACTCATGAAGGGCCAGAGCAATGATTGGCAAAGCAAGGTGGTGGTCCTATTTTTTAGATAGGTGTACTAGAAACTGTGGAGCTTTTTTAGGAAAGTTTACTCTAGGTTGTTGAAAGGAAGACACCAACTAATCAGTCAAAGCTCAGATTCAGAAGGAGCTGAAATAATGGACCTGAAGAAAGCTTAACACTGTGTCCTCTTAGACATTTTGCGGGATGTGTTGCTGGATAGTTTTTGCATTCTATTCAGTCAATGTACAACGAAAGCAAGAGCTGTGTCCACATTCATGGTACATAATCAAGCTCCTTTTCGGTTTGAGTTGGACCTGACCTGGGCTGCCCCTTGCCTCCGAGCTTGTTTGTGTTGTTCACGAACAGAATCTCAAGGCATTGCCATGGAGAAGAGAATGTCTGGTTTGTGAACCTTGGGGTGGCGTATTTGCTTCTTGCAGATGATAAGGCTCTGTTGGGGTCTTCAGACAGTGACTCTGCTGGAGCAGTTTGCAGCTGAATGTGGAGCAGATGGAAAAAGAGTCTGCCCTTCTGAGTTTGAGGCCATGGTTATCAATTGGAAAAAGGTGGAAACCTCTCTCTGGGTTCAGGATCAGTCACTGACTCAAGCAGAAGAGTTTTAATATCTCAGTATTTTGGTCACATCATGTGATGGCTGGATGGAATGATGCACTGACAAATCTGGGTTTCATCTGATAATTCAAACCATTAGATTCTGATTTCTTTGTTTTTCTCTATTCTATCCCTTTCCCTTGAGGTAATTCTTTATTCTAAGCAACCAGATATAATATGGTAAAGTATTCTTTAAATATATAGATTTAAAACACAATATAACCCGTTTTGATTAGGCCTAATGGTTGAGAGAGAAACAGAAAGATAAGATAAACAACATTTAAAGACCTGCATATTCCTGACAGATGCCTGCTGATTGTCAGCTGGGTGTAAAAAAGCCTCCCAAGTCCCAAGAAATACATCAGAACACCTTCATACAGCTTCTGTATCTATTTAAAAATTTCTGTCCATCTCAAAGCTCTCTGGTGAATCCAAATCAACTTGACCTTATTAAGTGGCCTGCAGGCAGTCAGCAGAATGTCCTTGTTATTCTGTTTGTGTCAGCAGATTTAAAAATGCATTAAAGCTGTCTGTGAATAAGGAGTTGTTTTTGGTTTGAACTCCTCTCCACTGGTCATATAACCTCTGTTATATAACCTCTCAGGAAATCAAACATTTGGTACTCTGCTTGTTAGTAACTGACCTAAAACACAGCAGACACTGTCTCAATAGTTTTGCCAGAGATTCTGGAAACTAAATTGTAATATCAGCCCCTCGGACCGTGTAATTTTCCAGGTCTTTTAGACTTTTAAACATTTCCTTCACTTTTTGGTGATTTTTACGAAGTAATAGCCCCCCATAAATAATCTGTGGCAGATTCCCCTGAGATAGAAGAGCTTATCTTTTGTGTTTTATTCTCAGCAATAAAACTACTGCTGCTGCATGATAATATACTGAACACAGGCAGTCTTGATCAGCAATGTTTGGTTTTTGCAAAAATGAATGGTTATCTGAACACCAGTTAGGCAGTATTTTATTATGTACAATGCAGTCATAAAAAACAATTATATATTAAACTTGTGTGAATTTTCTGAGACTATATGACCATTTTAACATATTGGTCTGCTGAGATGTAAAATACCAAAGGCTAAATAAACCCTAACAGTGTCTGTAAAAACTGTGCATCTAATAGTTTACAAATTACAAGAAAGAAGATATTAAAGAATAGTTGTAAAAATTTTGACTTCTGAATAGTTTTATATGAGTGGTTTCCAAATATAATATATTTTTTAATAAGCATTTTCAACTGACTGTTTAAATTCTTTGATTTCAATTCATTCCTGCACAGAAAATGGGGACAGGGAGGGGCTCATAAGCCAGCTAAAACAAGAAACCTAATTTTTTTATGTTGTTATTTGAACTTCCACTCCAATCAACTCCCCTCTAAGAGTCATGTTTAAAAAAACTATTAAAAAAGTAACTTTTTTTATCCAAACTTCAAGATCATTTGCTTTGTTTGACCTATTGATTTTTCGTAAAAGTTTTCTGTGAATTACAATTTACATCAGTTATTCAGTTCAGTAGTTCATTATTCATGAAGTTGGAGAAACAGAAAAGGTTTCTTTCCATCCTTTTAGTGGCATGCAACACAGCTTCTGTAGACACAATAATTAACTTTTTTAGTTTGTCTGTTTGGTAGAAAATACCAATTAAATTTAATCAAAGTCCAAAAACAATATGATAAACACTTTAAATGTGTCTGGATTTGTACAGGTGTGGTTTTAGTGTCGCTATGACTCTGTTGAGAGACTGTTCTGATAATTGAGTTCATCATAAGCAGGTCTGCAACCTGCCTGAGGAGCAGCTCATTAGAGTGTTTCAGCTTTCAGTGTCTTGTTACTCTGATGAAGAGGAGAAATACTTTCAACCTCCTACTGATTAATGTGTTTTCAGGCAGTGTGTATTTAAATGTGCCTCAGCTGCAGGAAGAATACTGCTGATCATATAGTAATGGTGTGTGTGTGTGTGTGCGTGCGTGCGCGCGCGCGTGCACGTGCATTTGTGGGCCTGCAGAATTTCTGATGTTTGATGTTTGAAGGAGCTTAACGAAGTGAGTGGATTCAGAAGCTAAAACTTTTTAATTACAGTAATCACACAAGTTCAGATTGATTCAAGCACCACAGCCACTCTAGTTAATCTGTAACAAATGTTTTTTTTTCATATGTTTCTATAAAAAATCTGCCCTTAGTTTTATCAGCTGCATTTTTTTAAACTGTTGCCTTTGTGTTGCCGTATTAATCTAAAAATGAATTGATTACATTTGTTCTAAAAGTTTGTGAAAAAAATATCTCAGCACCTGCTACTGTGAATGTTTTAAAACTAGTTTTCACAATACCAAAGCATATTTCTGCAACCTATTTCCGTTGCTGCACTCAAAAAGAATTAAGAAAATAGAGTGCTTACTGACAAAAGGTTAAAACGAGAAGCTATCATTTTTACTGAGGAAGAGAAAAACAGAAACTCAGTTTACTGTCATTTTTCTGTTTTACCAGATCTCTTGTTTTTCTTGTGTAATTTCTGTCTTTTTGACAGCTTCAGCTCTTGAGGTTTTGTCAATAGTTACAAGGTTTTTACCCATGATGCTGTATGTCTGCTCCCTGCCCTGTCTGTATAGTGTGACAGATAAATTTTGCCACACCAAAAGTCAAAATAGGTGTCAAAAAGAAACAATTTTTTGTTTTTTAAGTGATTTTTTTGTATATGTTTATTATTTATTAAAAAAAATCACCACTAAATAAGCATCATTCACTATCAAAAATCTATCCTTTAATTTTTATCAAATTAGTTGTTTGTTTACATTCAAACATTGACGAGACACTTCGGACAGTCTCTGCACACAAAGGATAATGAGTTGGTCAAATAATCCCTGGTTGTAAACAGAGTCAGAGGGAAAACAATAGAATCTGAAACACCATGTTGAAAAGGGAGAGTTAAAGTTCTTCCTTTTTTTCTGAAAAGAAACAGCAGCCAAAAGCTGTAAGAATGAGAGTTAATAGAAACTGTATTTTGGGTGGGGGGGCACTCGAGCTGTGAAGAGCGTTAAAACAAAAGTTGGCACTGGGATCATATGCAAATGAGCTGTGATATCCAGAACTCTGACGAGAGAATTTCAGTAACTGATTGTAGCTGATTGTCGAATTTAGTTGTAAACAAAGATGAGGAATATTTGCTGTTTTACAAAGTATTCTCTTTTTTTCCACAAAAAACCCCGATGGCTTTGAGTAACATTAACCCCAAAACAATCGTTTACT